ACCCTATTGAGGATAGAAAACCAAAGTCTAGCATATTGAAGTATTCCTTATGGGGTGTGTGTGTGTGTGTGTGTGTGTGTGTGTGTGTGTGTGTGTGTGTGTGTGTGTATTCATCAACCACCTTGGGAGAAGCATGATAAAGTGGAGTGGGCAGAGACAAGTCTCCCTCTGCAGATTTAATGACCTGTAGGGTATCTGCAACAATGTTGCTTCCAGAAGCCTCAAGCTCTTTCCCTGTACAAGCTCTCCTCACCATAGACTTATGGTTCTCCTGGTGGGAAAACTGATGCTTGTAAAAATGAAATAAGTCATCCAAGCATATACACCTTCCTGAGCTTTGGGGTCATAGGGACCTGCAATCTTCATACTTTGTCATCCTTGCTAGACACCTTTGGTCAAATCTTCTCTGAGACCCTGATTGTTTCTCAGTTAGATGGAAAAATAATAGTACCTACCTACCTCGAAGACTGTGGCCACTGGGAACATTCCTGTGTGTGTATCCTATTGGTGTATGCCCTCAAGGATGTCACGGGGGGGGGGGGCTGCCAGGTGTGAGATCCAGGGTGCTGTGGTCTTCGCCAGCACTGGAGGTCCTAATACTGTTCAGAGTTTATCAGTCTGGAAGGGTTATCCTGATGTGTCATTATAAAGTTTATAACATCGTTATGTCAATGTTCCCTATGCAATTGCACATCCTTCCTAAGTATAATCTGCACCGGCCATACTATATTTTATATGGCTATATTGTAATGTATATAAGAATCCCTTATTTCTTCATAAATAATAAACCTTGGAATAATTCCAACCTTTCAGAATGATAAAAACTGATGGATGAACTTGGGTATTTTTTTTTCTGTATTGTCTTATTCTGGGACAAATTCCCAGATGTAGAATTATTTGATAAAAGTGTACTTTGATAAATAAAGTACACTTTTATCAAATGCAGTGTACTTTTATAAAATATAGGGGAAAGAAAAAAGGGGGAAGAAACGTTGTGTATATGGGAGTTGTGGCTTGTAACAGAAGGAAACACTTAGGAAGTGGGAAGGTTGCCTTCCTCATTTCTGTCAGTTTGCAGGCTCTGAAGTGATAGCAACAGCATGGACAGTGGTGAAGGGTCACATACTGGCTGGGGTCCAAATACAGGGGTTGTTATTTTCTTCCTAGTTCCCAAGACAGTTCTGAAGTACAGCATTGACATGAGCCCTCCTTCATAGAAGACCTGCCAAGGGCCCAGCATAAATCCTAGCGCTCTCACTGGACGAGGCATATGGTTTGGCTTCACCTTCAGAGACTTCACTGAGTTCTTACTGTCCTGTGTGGTTCATGTATACCATCTTCATCAGCAGTGCATAGAGGGAGGGTTGTTACCTTCAGCTTACGGTGCTGGGACCAACGCTTTATAGTTAGTGAGCATCAACAGCAAGACTGGAACCCAGGCTGATTACCTCCTGTAGCCAATCTGCCTCCTGGAATGATCTGCCAGTGCCTGAGTGATATAAAGAACAGGCATTGCAGAATTCCGGGAAGAAACAGACCAGCAAGGATGGAGGCAGAGAAGGAGGTCTCCACAGGCCTCGGCTGTTTAAAATATCTCTTCAAATTTCTTTAGTAGTTTCATGTCCCACCATCCTTATCTTGCAACTCGAGTTGGTAAAGCACAAAGTAAGATTCCTGGCACTGTGTTCCGGGCACACAGTGTGTCCTTCAGATCCAGTGTGGGATTTATGAAACACCTTCTCCTGGGGAGAGAACGTAGTGAACCAGACATCCCCAGAGAGTGGCTTTCTCTGTGGCTGTGTGAAATGAGAAGCCAGCATCTCAGCTGCAGCTACACATGCAACAGAATGGAACATCCTGTGCCTGGTGCAAAGAAAAGCATTGATAATCTGTTTTCATAACACTGCCATGAACTTCTAGCGAAGTGCAGTCGGGGATAGCCAAGAGTCGGGCGCCATAACCAGACAGCTGAACTCTTCGCTTCTAAATGTCAGGGTCACGAGGTGAGGAATGGGTGTGCTCAGTTTGTAATAACCTGTGTGTATGTGATATAAAACAAAAGCTCAGGCCAAGGTCAAAACCCTAAAGCAGTAAGGCACAGAGAGCTTCCAGAACTGTCCATTCAGCCTTGTAATGCAAAATCTTACCAAGCAGTTGGATTTGTTCTAAGAATCAATTCTATGCTTACTCCCAAATCAGAACTTAATTATCAATTATTCACAGGACAAAAACTTTGTAGGGTTATTGCTTGTGCCAGGTCCTGTGCACAGCACTGGTGACTTGGGGACACTGCCTTTGGCTCTCAGTTTGTTATAGCTGACCTAGGTTGTGACACAGCATACAGCGCGACCAGACACAGATGTTCTCAGTTACGTTAATGAGCACCACACACAGTTCTCCTCTGCCCGAGGATCTGCGCTGGGCCCATTCTCTGCTGTGGCAAGGAGTAGTACATGAAGAGCTTTGTCTTCTGGGTAGACAATGGCTTCAGAAAAGCATCCATATGTCAAAGGCCACCCCCACCTTGCTGTGCTGATCCCCTTCTTCCCAACGTGTGGGATTTTTCCTGGGGTAGAGGAGGGTCACAACTGCATCTAATTGTTAGCTCAACTTTTTATTGTAAAATACTGTCGGTTCAGATACAGTTGTAAAGAATAATATTGAGAAATCACAGGTACCCCTAATCGACCTTGCTCCTATAATAGTATCTTGTAAAACTTTAATATGAAGCTGGGCAGTGGTGGCACACACCTTTAATCCCAGCACTCGGGAGGCAGAGGCAGGCGGATCTCTGTGAGTTTGAGACCAGCCTGGTCTACAAGAGCTAGCTCCAGGACAGCCTCCAAAGCCATAGAAAAACCCTGTCTTGAAAACCCAAAACCAAAACAAAACTTTAGTATGAATAAAATACCATAATCCATTGTCTGTTCAGATTTTCCAAATTTTACTTACACAGTCTTACTCTATTTACAATGGAATTATGTCTTCCCTCAATTATATAAGTCAAAACTGTGTTTACAATCAAACATCGCCATATATTCTAAAGTGTGGGTATGTTGTGATGGCGTGGCTGACATGGCAGTGTGGGCCTCTGCCTCTGCCTATTATAGTAAGAGAGTATTGAACTGCTAAATGCTAGTCCAGAGAAAGATTAAAATTCAAAGCATATAGAGGCCAGCGAGATGACTGGGTGGATAAACGCACTTGCTGCCAAGCCTGACAACCTGCCCTGGCCCCCAGAACCCACATGATAGAAAGAGGGAACCAACTCCATCCAGCAATTATCCTCTGCCTTCTACACACGCCTATGGCATAGGCTTCCCACACACAAAAGCAATAAATGAATGTCCTTAAAAAATTCAAGGCACTGTTTCTACTGAATGCACATTGCTTTATGTCTTTGTAAAGTGAAAAATTTGTAAGTTAAGCCATCATAAATCACGACAATCTGCACATTCATGGTGTGTGCAACTTAGCTCTCAGTTATTTAATTGGCTGCATAATCCTACCCACCACCACTCCTGAGGTTCGGAATGGTTCCAGAATTACGGGAGCCCTCAAGTGGTCCTTCAGTAACCATACCCATCACTCGCCTACAACCATCCTCTCAGGTCCTAGCCACTGGCACCTACTCCTCTTCATACCCATAATTTTATCACCTCAAGTAGGCTACACAAAGCGTCCATTGTGTTCATGACCTCTGGGGGTTGGCTCTTTTCTCTGCACGTTTTCTTGGGGGCTCATCCAAGCTGTTGCAGAGAAGCAGTTGGCTCTCCCTTGGTGCTGAGTGTGTTCCCCCATATGCAGGTTTATTCACCTGTTTGGACACTCGAGCTGCTTCTGGTTTTTGTTGTTATCAATAAACCTGCCATGGACATTTTTTGGGGGGTGGATTTCAAGGCAGGCTCTCTCTGTGGCTTTGGAGCCTGTCCTGGAACTAGCTCTTATAGACCAGGCTGGCCTCTAACTCATAGAGATCTGCCTTCCTCTGCCTCCTGAGTGCTGGGGTTAAAGGCGTGCGCCACCACCACCCTGCCTGCCATGAACATTTGTGGATCAATATCTGTATAAACATGTTTTCTTTTCTCTGGGATAGATGCCCAGGGGTGTAACTGCTAGGTCAGATGCTTTGCATATTTCAGTTTTATGAAGCCTGTCAAACTACTCAGACTGGTGGTGTAAATCCTCCTAAGGATTTTGAGCAAGCAGGCTTCAAAGTAAAGGATCATAAGTTCAAGGTCAGCCTGTGCAACCTAGTAAGAGCTTGTTTCAAACATAAAATTGTTTAGAAAGAGGGCTGGAGACATACTTCAGTGGTGAGCAGTCCCTAGCAAGTGGGGGACCTCGGGTTCAGCCTTCAGTATCACGAACAACACAAGACAGCAAGTGGGGGACCTCGGGTGCAGCCTTCAGTATCACGAACAACACAAGACAGCAAGTGGGCAGCAAACAGAACAGCTAAGTGGACAGCTGTTGGAAGAGGCCAAGCCACTTTCCATTTTTATCGGTGATGTGTGATTACCTGGTTTCTCCACATCTGTGCCAGCATTCCCCATTAATAGTTCTTATTTTAGGTGTCAGCATGTAGTGACATCTCCTTGTGGTTTTAATTTGCATTGTCCTTAAAGCTAACGATGTTGAACTTAATGTCATGTGTTCATTTTTCATTCATGTAACCTCGTCGGTGAAATGTCTTTCATATCTTTTACCTCTTCTTAGTTGGTGTGTTAATTTTTTTTGTTTTGTTTTTTACGAGACAAGGTTTCTCTGTATTATTTTGGAGGCTGTCGGTCCAGCCTAGGCTCGAACTCACAGAGATCCGCCTGCTTCTGCCTCCTGAGTGCTGGGATTAAGGGTGTGCGCCACCACCGCCCGGCGGTGTGTTAATTTTTATGGTTTAGTTTTGATAATTCTTTTTTTTAACTAACTGCTCTCCTACTTAAAACCAACTTTATGGCTACTACTATCATTACTTTGATGATATGAACTGTCTTGTTTATTATATTCATTTGTATATGTAGCAAAAGGCATATGGAACACTGAGTTTGGGTTGCAAAAGAGGATTTATTTTTGCATTTTTCTTTTATGTCTTTGTCTACCAGTTACACATACATTCACACACACACATACACACACAAATTCCACACCCACGTGCCATACTGAGACAGACAGACATTCTACTTCTTTGGGGAATTCTTTATTTCTTGATATTTTTAGATATTTATTTTATCTATAGATGAGTGTTTTGCTGCATTTTGCATGTGCATCAGATGATCTCCTGGAACAAAAGGTTATGAACCATGAGGTGGGTGCTGGGAACTGAACTCAGGTCCTCTGGAAGGGCAATGAGTCCTCTTATCCACTGAGCCATCTCCAACCCCTATTTAAACTAACTAAAAACCACTTCTGTTTGTTTTTGTTTTTTTCAGTCAGGGTCTCTCTATGTAGCCCTGGCTGTCCTGGAACTCACTATGTAAACCAGACTGGCCTCAGACTCATAAAAATCCTCCTTCCCAAGTGCTGGGATAAAGACATGAGCCACCACACCCAGCTCTTTGGGGAAATTCTTAATGCATTGTAGATACTCATCTTGTTAGATACATGGTTATGCTAATATTTTCTCTGTCTTTTCATCTTAACAAGGCCATTCACAAAGCAACAATTTCAAACTTTGATGAGGTAAAATACATTTTTGTTCTTGTTAACATAGCCTCAGGTCTGCACGAGGACAAAAGTTGGAGAGGAATTCCAGAACCTCTGGAGGCTGCCTGTAGAATCTTCTTTGATAAGCATTGCTCTTGGGAATCTGTAACACGAAATCATTGTGTTTGCCCTAAAAGGCACTGGGAATATCGGAAAGCGATTCTACCAGCCTGCTCAGTCAGTTTGAGTCTTCTGGCTTTGTTGTGTTCCCTTTTGTTATTTGTTATCCCACTTGATATTGCCAAGTGGAAGTTTTGGGCTTCTGTGCCAGATGATTGCTGATTGTAAATAAATGATGGAAATTGTTTCCTTATAGTCATATGGAATATGCTATATCAGAAACTAACTGTAAGAGTGAGCATTTGCAGTTGGCAATAAACCAAGTAGTTAAAATTGGAGCTTCTGGGCCCCACCTAAACATTCTCAAATTTTGTTATCAGCTACACATCAGGCTATAGTGCATTTGCTTTGAGCTTTTTGAATTATTCTTTCTTTTGCTCTATCTCTGAACAAACCTTAAGGAGGACGAGCTCTGGTTTTAGTTTTATAAATCCCTTCCCCAAAGGGAATATTTTCTGTACACTTTAATTGAAATGGAAGATGAAAGCAGATAAGCTTTTCCTTCATAAGAGGCTCTCTGTTCTTCCAACAAATCAGACCTCAGGTGCTGCAAGGCTGAAGGGAAGTCTCCCCTGGCCCTGCCTGTGTCCAGGGCATGACAACCTTGGTCCCTGTAGTGACTTTTCAGGGGCATGTCTCCTGGACTAAATAGGATGCCCCTTCATAATATCTTTCTCCTTTTATATTCCAAAGATCAGTAACAGAGCCTGTTGCATGGAAGGTGCTCAATAAAACAATTAGAAATTCACAAACTTCAATAACTACTTGATATCTCAAAATTAGTAATATTCATTTTTCGGGAAATGCTGTTTTTCTATCCCTCTAAGAGTGAATACTATGCTTATGCTTTGGTTGTTTCTTGAAACTTCACTGTCCATAAAATGAGTAGATACTGAAAAAATGTTGGATTCATCCATTCATCCATCATCTATCTGTCCTTCCATCCACTAAGCATGTCTTGAATTCTGTGCTAAGAACTGTCAGGAATAAACACACTTATCTAGAAGAAGGCATAGCCCTGTTCTTCTGGTAAACTGTCATCGCCTGAAATATCTAAATAATGTAAGACACCTTGGCTTTCACAATTAAAATCAGTATAGACAGTAATTAAACCATCCACAAGAGGCCACCTCCCACAGATCAACCCACAAAAGCTCCAGCAATGGAGTGACCTGAGAATACTCTATGTCCCTATTAGAGTTCCCTGTCTGTGTGCCCTCCACCGCTGCCCACCGGTCTTGCTTTCTCTTGAAAGGATTTCCTTCTCGCCTTTCTGCCTACACTCAACACTGGAATGCTGTATTGCTCAGGACTCTTTAGGTTACATGAGTCAGAAACTGAAGCAAATGCCGTAAGCAAAAAGGAACCCACTGTTCCACACTTCCCAAAAGAAGGTCTAGGCATGGCTATGGACAGCCCACTTCTGGCCCGCCTTGACCAGCTGGATGTGATGGCAATATTTATACCAGCTCCGGACGAGGGCAGTTTGGATTTTGAACTCTTGGAATCTAGACACCATGTGAAGGAATCTAACTACCCTCACACAGAGAAGGGGTTAGTGGAAGGGACTATAAAACAGTAAAGCATTTAATTAAAAATATATATGAGGTTTGGCTAGTCCCCCTCCCCCACACCTTCTTTTGTGGATGACACTACCTTGGACACTCTATCCCCAGCAATGTCATATGAAACTGAGGACAGCCACCTCCCCAGGAGGGCCAGTGCTTTTAGAGCAGTTTGCCACCCAGCAACAGGTTATAGGCCAGGCAGCCTCTGACGCTCCCACAAGCCAATAAGAATTTCCAGTTCACGGCTTTCCTTCAGAGGGAGGCTGTCTCTGTGAAGTAGCAAGGACATTCATCATGGCAGCAGGTTTACACTTGCCCGGCTTAGCAAAGGTAGGTGAAGCTCTTTCTCAACAGAACCAGCCAGTCTCATAGCTGACTCTAATTGGTTGTGACTAAGTTGTGTGACCCTACAGAGCCCGCCTCCTCACCAAACCCATTGCTCTCCTTAGGCCCTGGCATGGCCTCCAAAGGAAGGGACGGTCTATTTTCTCTCTGGATCCTCTCTCCAGAGGAAAGCCGGATGGTGATGAATGCCACTTGTTTTCTTTCTTTTCTGGGGAGCTTCCTATTGTACTATCTAATTTGTGTGTGTGGTTTTTTTTTTTTAATATTTTGTATGAGTGCCCAGCAGAACAGCTATTGGGCAACTGGCTTATGAAAGAAATCTAAAGGCTCTTAATAAATGAATAAGTAAATAAACAAATAAAATGTTCTGTCAACTGAGATGTGAGTGAATCAGATAGTTTTGATTCATCTTTCTCATTAAGAGTCAGCATTCCATTGTGGATCTCCGAGGAACACAAAGCTGGATATAGAAATCAAAATTAGATGCCTGCTGGAGCACAGACCAAGACCCCACTCTGTCTTGTCACAGCACACTGGCCTCTCTAAATGTACACACGCACGCGTGCACACACACTCACACAGAGACAGAGACAGAGAGAGAGAGAGAGAGAGAGAGAGAGAGAGAGAGAGAGAGAGAGAGAGAGCCTATGTAAATGTAATATGCTTCCTATAGTTCTAAGTAGCTGGGGGGACAAGCCCAGTATCAGATGGCAGCTGGAGATGAGGAGAAAAACCCACAGATAATCCGTGAGATTTTTTTAGAAGGATCTTTGAAAGATTAGGTTGGCATGACGAATTAATATGACTTGACAGTAACAGACTATAAAGCTTGGGGATAAAACCATCATTTTTTTTTGAGAGGGTCTTTCTGCATAGCTCTGATTGTCCTGGAACTCACTATGTAGATGAGGCTGGCCTCAAACTCACAGAGATCCAACTGCCTCTGCCTCCTGAGTGCTAGGATTAAAGGTGTGCGCCACAATGCCCAGATATAAATCTTTAATCTTGAAAGATTGTGTGTGTGTGTGTGTGTGTGTGTGTGTGTGTGTGTGTGTGTGTGTGTGTGTGAATACAGACGGTCACTCTTTGGAGAAAGTGGATTGTTATGACACCATCGTCTCCCCATCAGGAACCACCCTGAAAGTTAGGTTTACATTGCTTGTGTGTTTCTCGATAATTTCCATGGAATAACTTTGTTTTCTTAAAGAAATAAGTTGTCTGTTTGCTTATCCTTTAATTTTTAGTATTTTTAATCTCTGTACGTTGAACACAAAATGCTTGCAGTTTTCTGTGCCTTGCTTTTTTGTTTCCCTGGATTGTTTGTGAAATTCACCCAAATTGATTTTTTTAAAGCAGGGGTTCAGTCTATGACTCATGTTCTCACTTTACTGTTTCTTTTCGTAGACAGAAGCATGTTTTTAATGCTGTTAAATATTTACGGTTTATGCTTTTGGAAACCTGCTTTTTATGTCTTGAGATAAAAATGATCTCCAACTTTCTTTTGGAAGATTGAAGTTTTTTCCTTTGTCTTTAAAAAATAATTTGACATTTATTTATTTGTGTGTGTGAGCACGCATGGGTCTTGGGGTTTATATTACTGTGAAGAGACAACATGACCAAGGCAACTCTTATAAAGGAAAACATTTCATTGGAGCTGGTTTACAGTTTCAGAGGTTTACTCCATTATCTTCATGGGGGCATGCAGGCAGACATGGTGCTGGAGAAGGAGCTGAGAGTTCTACATCTTGGTCCGTGAGCACCAGAAGCAACTGTGTCCCATACTGGGCATAGCTTGACCATATGAGACCTCAAAGTCTGCCTCCACAGTGACACACTTCCTCCTGGATTGCCACGCCCACTCCAACAAGACTACACCTAATAGTGACACTCCCTGTGGGCCACACCCATTCTAAACACCACAGCATGTATGGGCACACAGTTACCACAGCATGTATGGGCACACAGTTACCACAGCATGTATGGGCACACAGTTGCCAAGGTGCACGTGTGAAGGCCAGTGACAGCTTTTGAGAAATGATTCTCTCTATCCACCATGTACATTCCAGGCATTGAATTCCAGCCATCGGGCTTGCTGATACGCCTTTACCCTCCAAGCCTCATGTTTTTGTTTTGTTTTGGTTTTTGTTGTTGTCGCTGTTTTTAATCTTAACCTAGCACTAATTTCTGTATATGTTGTGAGGGGATCTGCAAATTATAGCAGTATCTCTTCAAAAAATTCCAAATCCTTCGTCTTCACCCAAGCGAAACTCCATGTTCCCTGAAAGTGGCCTGATAGCCCCTGTAGAGCCTCATCCTCGGAGACGGTCCCCTCCCACCTCACTCCCAAGTGCTTCTGAGGGAGCACGGTTCGCCTCCTTGCTCTCCCTTGAG